CTCAAACAATTTCCCAAAAAAGCCAAAAAAAAAAAAAAAAAAAAAAACCAAAAAAACCCCTCAAACAATTTCCCCACTATTCCAAAAAAAAAAAAAAAAAAAAAAAAAAACTCTGTTGAAATGCCCGCTTTTTGAAAAATTTTCTAATAAGTTTAGTGAAAGATATATAATTTCACATTTATTTTTGTATGGTTTTAGAGCTTTTTCAAATATTCTTTTCATTGGGTTTGATATCTGCTAAAATATCTCCTCCATTAGTAAAACATTTCAGTGCATAAACAAAACCCAAAGCAGAGAGTTCAATCCACTTTCTAGTTTAATACAAATCAAATAATGGTAAAGGCCATATGGTTCAATTCATATATTTTGGGATAACATTGTTGCTCCTTTATTTTCTGTTGTCCTTCAAACTAGTAGATTTTACTCTTTTATTGTGTTTTTTGTTGTGTTAGAAAAAATATCTGAACCAGTCAAAATTGGACTTGGCAGATGTGATTTAAAACAGAAATCGATATGACCAGTGCATCTCTAGGAATTATTGCACTTATCTTCAAAACAAAATGTTAATAGATAAGATTCACTTTCATTTTTATCTTTATCTTCCAAAATCTGTTTTTTAAAACGTATTTCTTTTTGTTATTTTGGTTTTGTATTGCTATGTCTGTGCTAATGTCTTTAAATTAGGGGGGAAAGGCTTTCAGCTGAATCTAAAGGAACTTATCTCCTGGCTGGACCAAGAACATGTCATTGCACACATTTATTTTTTGTTTGTTTGTTTTTCATTCGCCTCTTTGTTACATAATGTGTAATTTTTATGTGTGTTATGATTTAGTGTTTTTTTTTTTTCTTCACAGCTCTCATTTTAATCAGGACATGATTGTATTTGATCATTTTATACTTGAACAGGTTTATTCTAATTAAATATTGATTTTTTTTTCACCTTAGCAGAATGATTGTATCACATTCACTTTTTTTTTTAAGAAGCGTCTGTCAAATGGGGGGTTTACAACGCTGAGGGTCTGTTTTGGTGGACGTTTATATCTAGAGGACTATAATGGTTACATTCCCCTAAAAAATATAATTTGGTAAATGTCCAGTAAATTGCTGAGATGGATATGATTTGATAGAATAATTACATAAGAATTAAAAAAGCTCAGTTTACTGAACTCCCCACCCCTCCACCCCCGCCACCTCCCTCCCAAAAATAAAATATCAGTCTGGTCGCAAAATTAAATACTGATTAAATACATCCAACAAAATTGCAAATTATATAAGTTGTGTTTTAATGCGTCGTTTATGTAGATTCCTGTAATGGTGGGTGAAAAATAAAATCAGCTGTTCGTTTAAAGAAAGAACAAAACTAAAACGGTCCTAATTACAGACATGCAAACGTGGAGGGGGAGGGAGTGCGTGGATGTGTGTAAGTGTGCGCGCGTGTGTACGATTGCGATGCAGCGTGGGCACCGTGCTGTTCCCCAGCTCCTCAGCAGGCAGGACACACCTTCTCCGGGCTGCAGCACCCTTCATGGCATTACATCATCACAGACACCTCGAACCCACGCGCACGAGCATGCGTTTACAACATCTGCACGTGCACGGTCTACATGGATAATTGTCCCCACCACAACAATGACCGAACTCTTCTACAAACGACTGTAGGCGCGCAAAAACAATTTTGCACACGCACCAATTAAATCCACGCACACGTCTCTGCTCAGCAACCTCCCACCAGCTACAGCAGCTACACCGGTTTATGCAACATCACATGGACTTTCTCACAATTTCAGTTATTGCAAATAATTAAAATAATAATAATAAAAATGTATATAGCGTAAATGGAGAAGAACAGGTTCTGTTTAATTTTATTAAGATAAATCCAGAGTGGGGGACATTTAATGCACCGCAGGGCCGCGCACTTTCCCACACTCAAATCTGAGACACGGGGAGAAAGAAAAGAGCATTCTCCAAAAATCCTGCGTAGTATCAGTCTGTCCCCGCCCAGAGGAATTAGTGTTACCTTGAGAGCCCTTGGCTTTTTGCGGCTGATTTGTTTGAGCCGTTAATCAGCTGTCAAGCATGGGAAATACAATCTGAAAAGCCTAAATTATCAAAAATAAAGGGGGGTGGGAGAGAGAGAAAAAAACGCCCATCCTGCTACTCCACCTGACCTTAATTCTAAGACAAGCAGAGTTAAAATGGAGAAGCAGAAATCTTTTCTTACTAATTTATTGGATAAAAATCTTATATCTTTAAATCGGAATTTTGTGTTTTATTTTATTTTTTTCAATTATTTTTATGAAGAAATACGATCATTTCAAAATTGATTCATGTAAGCCTGTGTATGTAAAAACGTTCCTGTTTCCATCAGGAGAAGGAACATCTTCAGGCCTTTAGGAAAATAAACAAATAAATACATTCTGGCACACGGGTCACGCCCATTCTGTAGGCGGTTTGGAAAGAGGGAAGAAAAAAAAAATCCCGATTAGGAATTCCCTCTGCATACTTCCACCTATGCATACATAAATGCAAAGGAATAATGTTTTAATCTTATTAACTCTCTGCAGCTATGAAGGAGAGAAAAAGAAAATCCGCCTTTTTTTTTTTGGTAAATCTGAACGTGAAAACGTCCGGCCTGGAGATGATTTTAGGGATGCAGACAGAAGATTCAGGCCTGTTTTTTTTTTTGTTTGTTTTTTTTTTTTTGTTTGTTTTTTTGTTATTATTGCTATTATTATTATTATTATTCCTTGTTTCCTTCGTAGGGCGCATTGAATGCAGGGCCTCATATTTAACTGCGATAAAAAAATAATAAGAATAATAATAAAAAAAACGCCAAACACTCTCCCTACAAATTGGACATCTCGCCCCATCCGTCGCAGTGGAGGTGACACAGATGAAAGCTGCAGGACTTGAGCTAAAACGTTAATTCAAGATGAATAGAAGTAAAACGGGAAGCTGTCAGCTTAAGAAGGTGCAGCATGAAATGCGTTTCAGGGAAATGCATTTCAGCGAACCCCTTCTGCAGATGCTGGGGAGCCCAAATTAACCCGATTCATCAGAATATTTCACAATTTCCCTCCGTTAAAAATGATGTCCCTGATTTTGCGTCGGATAGCGAAAAGGATTGCTCCAATTTTGTTCGACAATTCTGAATCTGAGAGGAGCAAATTTGGGATGATTTTACATTCAGGTTAGTCGTAAAACATCAGGTGTCTAAATTATACCTTCAAATTGTGATTATTTGTGTTAATTTGATCTGCTGAATGTGAAAAAGAAAACGTCAGCTGCGTGTTTTCTCTCTCTCTCTCTCCTTTTTTTTTTACCCCCCCAACAGGAGGGCGATGGAGGAATGCAACGGTCACTGCTGTCCATCTCCGCGCAAACGCAAGGTCATGCACCAAAAAAGAAAAGCTGCTCGAATTACAAGAAAATGTGCATCAATATTTAAAGAGCCCACGGGGAGCGTGCGTGACATTTCAACACGCGACTGCAGCCGAGAACAATGCGTGAAAACAATGCGTGCATGGAAACTGGACACCTAGCGCGCATATGATATATAATTCATCAACCTAAAACAGGGTGAAGGAAATCCTCCTTTTATCTTTTCAGTTTTTACTCCAGTCTGGCTCCAAACCTATGTTTACAACCACAGGGCCCATTTAAAGGCTTGCAGTGTTTGAGGTATGTTAATGATCAAAACAATAAAATTGATATTTTATATCGTGACCATACGGGCAGCGCAGAGGTCTGTAATTCTACTCTTGCCTGTCAAAGTGACATTAGTGGCCAACATGGCAGAAATTTTCTGTTTGAACCCCCAAAATGTCGCGATTCCTTCAAGGAGACCCACAGACATCCGCCGAGTCCGTGCGCAAAAAGCGGAAAAAAGGGAAGAAAAAAAAAAAAAAAAACTCTTGTAAAAGTCCTGTGATACCTGTCCACCAGGAGCTGAAACTCGAGCCTTCCCTGCCTCCTCTCCCCTCCTGCTTCTGCTCCTCTAACTCTCATTCTGAAGGTGGACACTAACATGAACAGGTTGAACTTACACAGACGGCGTTACTGACCTCAGATCAGCAGACCAAAAGTATCCACCTGCTAAAATCCAGCTGCCAGTGTACACGGACCCACTTTCCCTCCCTTTTTTTTTTTCTTTTTTTTTTTTGCTTTTACAAAAATATCCAGGATCCAGTTAGAAGCAGCGCCGTCTCCGGGCTGCCTTTATCGCTCCTCGCAGGTGCGTCCAACACGGTGCATCATGCGCACAACAGCCGCTGTTTGCTCTGTGCCACTCGCGGCGGCTGCGGGCAAGAGGCGCGCACACGCTGACACGCACGCGCGCGCCAAACAGGGTCCGCCCTCCACTCAGCGCCAGCGCGCGCCCTTTAAAGGCACATGGAGAGTGCGCACAGACACGAAGGCGCGTCTTGGATGCTGTGTATTCATTTAGTTTCAGTTTGTTTTTGGGGGGAAAAAAATGCTGCTGGAGAAAACCTGCAATGCACAATGTTCGAATGGGAACATGTGGAAGAATTTAATATGGAGAATGTAAGAAGAATAAATTAATGTAATAACATGGAGCCAGTGGAGGAAAAATTCCTATACTATACAAAGCGATACCCTCAATTAGTTACCCTAACTTGTTTCTATAGTTTACTTCAATTTAATATAAGTTATGAAATTCCAACCTAATTTCGTGAGTTCCATGAAATGTAAATTTAAGTGTGTCAACATAACTCAACAATTTGAGTTTTAAAATGGTCTGCATGAGTTGACATGTTTTTATTATTATTATTATTATTATTATTATTATTATTATTATTATTATTATTATTATTATTATTATTATTATTTTAATTTATTCTTTTTTATAGTTAATATTTAAAGAGCCCACAGGGGCTCTTTAATGTGACATAACCTCAGTGCCTTCAAAAGTATTCATATTACTTGAGCT